TTATTATTATTATTATTATTATTATTATTATTGTTATTATTATTATTATTATTATCATTATTATTATTATCATTATTATTATTATCATAATTATCATTATTATTATTATTATTAATATTATTACTACTATTATTATTCTTTTTTGCAGCAAATTTCAGTTATTAATAATAACTTATTATCGTAGATAAAAGAAAGTCAGATTTGTCTTCAAGAAACTTGGAAAAAATGTAAGATTTTAAAATAAAATTTTGGAAAATATTTTTCACATACAGATTGTGATATACGTGCATAAATATATAAAAAAAAAAACTCCATTCGAATAGGCCATCACGAAGAGAATTGAGTAAATCCAAACTAAATTTAATTAGCCACAGCTAGTTAACTGCTGTCATTAAGTTAAGTTCGTATCACACAAGTCTTTCGTTTCTAGCGCTCTGGAACTGGAGCCGGGAGCGTTAGCTGGGAATTCCGTTGTGTGCTGCCGCTGCCGCTGCCGCTGCTGCTGCTGTTGCTGCTGCCGGCGTCGTTCGTTGCCAGTCACACTAAGAGCAACACCAACACCAACAGCAGTGCTCAGTGTGCGTATGTGTGCGTGTTGCTTTCTGGTTTGGCAGCTGCTTCTTGGCACACACACACACACACACGCACAGACATCAGCACACACGCACACAGAAGCGACGCGTCGCGCTTTTACATTTGTATATGTAGGTCTACGTCCGATTTTACTTTCACTTTTAAAGGTTTACGAACTTTTCTGTTTACAAGTCAACGCTGCTGCCGGCAGCCGACGCGTCGCAGCAGCAGCACCAGCAGCAGCGACGACGACGACGACGCGCATTTCAAATGCTTCTCACACACTCAGAGCTCAGGCACAGGCAGACAATCAGACCGTTGGACGGATGATACAAAAGAGGCGAACAGGCGGACGTATGGACATACTGATGGACGGACGGACGGACGGACGGATGGACAGACGGGCAAATACAAACAGAGAGCTTTGCGCTTACATCGCGGATTGAGAGTCGCCGTCGCACAGTGGCGCAGATTGCTGTCAATTCGGCACTCAACTGAATTTGGCCGCATTCGCGGCTGTTGCATACCACTGTGCCGGCTCCTCATTGGCATTGGGTTGACTCATGCCTTGGACGCATGCGTTATATTATTTATTGTTGTTGTTATTCGATTTGCAGTTGCGGTTGCTCGTGTGCATCGCATAAGGAAGTCGCGTGTGCTCAACTTCCTTGACATTGAAGCGGCAGCAACCGCAACGCCAGCAGCAGCAGCAGCAGCAGCAGCAACAACAACAACAACAAGGTTTAAGTGTAAATGAACGGCAAGGATTTTTGCTGCTGCCAAAAGCGATTGCTGTGTTGCCTCGGAAGTGACAGCGACAGCGGCAGCAACAGCAACTACGCGTCGGCAGAGCTGCCAGCAACATGTACTGGCAGGTATGCTGACATGTGTGTGTGTATGTGTGCTTTTTAGTCGGTCGGTCATTGACCGTTGCAGCTGAGACGCATTGACGCCGCTGCCATTGGCATGGCCGCAAAGGCGGCTGCTGTTGCTGTTGCTGCTGCTGCTGTTGCTGCGGTTGTTGCTGCTGCTGTTGTTGCAGTTGTTGCGTTTATCCTGCCTAAACTAAACTGTGCAAAAAGCTCAGCTCAGACAGACGGACATACGCATAGAGAGAGAGAGAGAGCGAGAGAGAGAGAGAGAGAGAGAGAGAAAGAGAGTGAGAGTGAGAGAGGGAGTGGGAGTGGGAGTGGGAGTGAGAGGGCAACACAATCAGAGACACTGAGCAACAGCGAGCGAGTGGGAGAGTGAGTGAGAGAGACAGAGAGAGAGACAGAGACGTTGAGCTTGGCGTCGTCATCGTTAGCTGCTGCTGCTACTGCTGCTGCTGCGTCGTCTACCCAACTCGTTGGACAAGTTGACGGCCTACGTGAGTGGCGCGTTATGTGCATTGAATTGGAGTTGGAGGCTTGTGCGTTTGCGCAAAAGTCAATGAACTCCGCTGGCTTGACGCTGACGCTTGATCCGCTTGCAGCGCAGCCGCTGCTGTTGCTGTTGCTGCTGCTGTTGCTGTTGCTGCTGCTGCTGCCGTGGGGGCGTCGCGTCTTGTGTGTGCAATTCACACCAACACAGCTGCATTTTGGGAATGTAGGTAAGCCACTTGCCAGGCCGGGTTGTTATTGTTGTTGCGGATGTTGTTGTTGTTGCTGTTGTTGTGTTATGTGTTGCTAATGTTGCTGCTGCTGCTGCTGCTGCTGTTGTTGTTTCTAACCTTTTTGCAATGCGCCGCTGCGTTAGGCAATAGCTTCACTGTCAACACTGGCCAGCGAGTCAGTGCATTGATCTCGCCATTGATGTGTGCTCAGCTCTCTCTGTGTGTGCGTGTGTGCATGTGTGTGCATGTGTGTGTGTGTGTGTTGCATGTGATACAATGTCGTTGACACAGTGACCGGAAAACAGATTGACTTAATGACTGACTTTTCAAAATCAATGCTGTCGCCATTAGAATGCCAAGAAGGGTTAGACAGAGAATGAGAGAGAGGGAGAGAGCTTCTATTGTGGGCAGCGCGATCTGTGTGGGCGTTGGAGGGCAGCGATTAGCTGCCCAAATTGCGGAACATTGTGCCACAGCCGACAGTTGTAGGCCAGCGGTCAACGACCGATCAGCGACAACAGACCAAAAAGCAGCAGCAACAGCAGCAGCAACAGCAACAGCAGCAGCAACAGCAGCAGCAGCAACAACAGCAACAACAGCTTAACTTCAAGCAACCAGTTGAACGACCCACTGAACCAACTTGTCATTTGACCATGTCGCTAAGCTGCAGCACTCAGAATGCTTCTCCTGCCTATGCGTATGAAGACACACACACACACATGCACACACATACATAGGTGTGTATGTATGGACATGCATATCCTGTGTGAGCGGCTAATGCGACTTGGGGTTGAGGTTGCAGCCAACTGCCACACGGCATTAACATTACCGTTATTTGGCAATTACTTACGCACTCCGGCACAGAAAGTGACCCGACTAATTGCATTTCACCAATTTATCACACAGAGAAAGGGAGACAGACAGCAAGAGAGAAGGAGAGAGAGAGAGAGAGCAGTGAGAACTTTATTTAAGCGTTCTGCATTTTAAATGCTCGACATGAATATGCATTCGCCGACAAATTGATGTCAATTATCTTGCGAAAGTAGCTAGAACAAAGCAACAACAACAGCAGCAACAGCAGCAGCAGCAACAGCAGCAGCAGCAACACTTCAAGTCATATACAAAAGTAATAATAATAAAATAATGAGAAAAAGCTCAGAATTTTGTGGGTAATTATTGCAGCTGCCCGCTGGCTGACTTTCTGTCCAATTCCGCTTGGTCGCACCAACAGCCCGCCTCGTGCCGCCCCCTGGCGACCGCCTGCCGCTCCCTCTCCCTCGCTCGGACAGCAGCTGCTGTTGCTGCTGCCAATTTCTACATTTCATGCCAAGCGTTGTCGCTCTTGCCATTAAATTTGGCCTCAAAAAAATTTCAGTTACTGCTTGCAGACGTGTGTGTGTGTGTGTTCCTCCATTTTGCCATAAGGTGAAAATCGTCAGCAGCTGAAAATGCTGGAGCCAGGGAGAGCCACTGCCTGCCTGCCTGCCTGGCACCTCGTTGCATTTACCTGTTGCATGCCACTGCAGCGCCGCAGGTCAGCGGCAATAAATGCCGCCGGGTCAGCCGCTGGCAAGAATATTCGATATTGATTCTGATTTTTGCATGCGCCGCAACATTGTTGCACATGAAAACATGAATCGAAGTGCAGACACTGCACCGTGCATAACGTGAAGCCGAGTTGTTGTTGTTGTTGTTGTTGCTGGCTCTGTTAATTGCTCTGGGCAAGCTGTTGAATATTTCAGAATATTTGTGTATACATTTAAATTTAAGCAGCAAATAAATTTGTGGCATATTTTGTTTGCAGATTCTTAAATATGAACTCTTAAATATATATTTATATTTAAATAAAATATATATATATATATTTATAAATGAGAATATTTGTGAAATGGTATGGATATGCATTGCTTACATTATTTATATATATTAGCAGAAACATTGAAACTTTTTTATAAATTTGACTCTTCCTTTATATGAATATTCTTTCTATAATTGTATAAAAATATATTTTTTTATATATTTATTTATTTTTATTTTTATTTTTATTTTATTATTTTTATTTTTATTTTTGTATTTGCAATTTGTCCTATACTAAACATTAAGCAAATCTTTTAACAATAACAATCATGGAATGTGTTTTTTTTTTTTTTTATATTTAGAGAGCTTTTACATGCTGAGTTCCTTACAGCAGATGTAAATATTATACGTAGACATGTAAACATAAAAAAAAGAAGTCAATGCACTCATACTGTGTCTAGCATTATTACTATCATAATTATTTTCAAATTTTGCAAAGAGAATATAAAGCAGGTGACTGTACAAGAACAGAGAATCTAAACTATTTTTGTTTTTATTTTTATAGTTTAAATTTAGTTTATTTTGAGTAATAAATATATAAAAAATATATAATAAATATATAAAAAGATATATAAATTTTTTAAAAATATATTTGGACATTTCTTCAGCAAAGTCTTTTTGTGTACTTTTGATGCAAAAAAAAAAAAAAAAAAAAAATTGTTTATTTTAACAAATTGTGGATCTTAAGTTCTTAATTGTTGCGTTTTTCGTGATAGTTGTTAAAAATTCAAGGGGCTAACACGTTACTAAAATAGACTCTCCTGGAGAAGGGCCCATATATGTATGTATATACTAATTTCCACAATATTATACATTATATATTTTTTTCATAATATATTTTTGTCCCCTAATATTTATACACTTTTTGGCTTTAGTTTTGATTGTTTTTCTTGATATTAAAAAATTAATTTTTATTATTAAATGAAATTTCAAAAGCGTAAAACAAAACGATAAGAATATTTAAATACACCTTACGAAGATTATTATTATATACATATACATATATTATTATAATATAGTTGTTTTAAGTATACTTTTATACTGCTAATAACTTCCTCTAAGGCCTAAGGCAGAATGGTCGCAGAGAGGATCTACTATGGAAACTTAGTAGAGAAGATTTGACATATATAGACTTTAGCAATATGAATAGGCAATCGTGTAATACACAGCATACATGTAATATATATTTAATTTATTTATATGTATAATGTATATACATTGTTTCTTCGCTTGAATTGCCAACGCAATAAAGAAAGTTTAGTTAGTGTGTGGGCCAGTGCTACTAAGTGCATTAGCCAAGCTCAGCTGATTAGAGCGCAAAGTGCTCGCACGTCACGTGCCTCGATTGATCACGTGTGTGGGCGTTCGTTATCGCGGCATATGTAAGCAACTATATACATGTATGTATATATATATATGCGAGTGCAATAGCAGAGACAGCGAAGACAGAGACAGCAGCATTGCAATTGCATTTACATGCAACTCACATTGGGTCGTTAAATCGCAATTGCATGTTGATTGGGATTAGCATGCGTCGCCAGAGCCAACCGATTTGTTTGAAGTTAGTTTGTCAGTTTATATAATGCGAGCTCAGTCGCTGTCGCTGTCGCTGCTGCTGTCGCTGCTGTCGGCGCCTGAGCTTAATGTGCTTCCCCGTAGATTGGCAATGCAATTGCACGTACTTTACATTGAGTATACGACCCGTTTAACGGGTTGCCAAAAAAAAAATATATCATTAAAATGCCTGAAGAACCAAATGTGACATGAGCGGTATATGAATTGAATTTGACTATAATTTATATAATTTGCATTATTTTGCAACTGTGAATCGCCGTCAATATACCCTTTGGTGGCATGGCCCAGGGTATCTGCTGGCGTGCAACTTGTTGCTTCGACTTGCTACATTTGTTATTCAAGTGTCACATTAGAATTGAAATTTATCGCTGTAATTGAATTGTCAATGGCTGACATTGTAATTGCTCAAGCGCAATTCATGTAAATAGAAATGACTGAGAGATGATAGCACACATCTATATATATACACTGCATCTATATAGAGAGATATATATATGTGTACATCTATTCAATGGTAGCTCCATGAAGCGTTACACAATCAAAATGAACATTTCATTGAGCTTGTCAGCTAATGCGTCCGATCCTGTTTGACATTATCCAATGCCTAGTCCAAGGCTTGCATCGCCTCAGCTCATATTGAGAATTTCAAATCGTATGATAATGCCATGATAGGCTTCACAGTTCGGTACAATTGCATGGGCATTTGTCTTAGCTTATATAGTTATTAGGAATTTCAGCTCGAGTCATGCCCTTGTTTGTCTTGTTTACTGTCCATGGCCCATAGCTATTTTTCCGGCTGGCCAACTGTCCGTCTGTCCGCCCGTCTGTCTGGCTGACCTTCGAACAAACTTCCACTGCCCTAGTCGGAAGCTAGGTCATAAATTCGAAGGGCCACATTGAACTATCGCCTTGGCTGCTGCCGCTGTTGGTTGTGTAACAGCCGCGGCTCAGCCAAGAATTTCGAATTCCACTTCAGCATTACAGCAAGAGATCAATGAACGCTTTCAATAGGAAATCGAAATCGAAATTGAAACTGAAACGCTTGGCGTTTTCTTTGTCTCAGTCAGAGTCAGAGTCTCTGTCTGCCTCTCAGTCTCTCAGCTCTAGTTCCATATGAATTTGTTTCATTGTTATTGTTATTGATATATGGCCGATGATTAGTGGGCACGTTATTAGCGATTAAGGCGCTTAGATTCGATTTGATGCGATGCGATTTGATTTCATTTGATTCAATTCAATTCGATTTGAATCGATTCGTTCCGATTCGATTCGATTCGATTCAAATTGGCATCGACATCGACAACAGCAGCGACACGATTCGTTGACCCAACCAATGCAGAACCTTGGAATTAGCATAAAACGTTGTTGCTCCACATTAGTCCGGCTGGGTGCTCCGGCTGCTAACTAAGCTGTCGTCCGACTTGGACTATACTACTACTACTATTTATCATATTCAATCATTTTTATTATGTTCGAATTTTTTTGTTTTTCTTTTTTACTTGTTAAGCTAATCCCACAGACGAGAACTAACCCTTGGGTTAGGTGAATGTTTCGACAGATTTTTATTGAGCATCGAATTTGAAATGAATTTATTTCTTATATGATTAGAAAGTTTATATCATTTAAATATTTTATTATATATTTATTCTCTACTTTCATTTTGATATTATTAGTTCTTCAATTCAAAGCTTTTCTTATGTGCATTTTATTATCTCATTATCTATCTGTTCTCGTTGTTGAACTGTCCTTTGCGATACGACGTTGCTGCGTTTCGAAGAAGTAGATCTAAAGTAACAAAAAATAAATCATATGTCTTAATATTCCATATTAAAAGTTAAGCTTTAAAAAAAAATCTAAAGTTGTTTACATTTATCATTAGTTTCAATTCAACTGTGAATATCTCGCTCAACTTTCCAACAAAAGCTATCAAATTTTTTCTATAAGCCACAAAACGAATTTTCTTTAAGAACAAATAAAGTATGGGAAGTTTTGTAGTTTAATTTTGTAGGGAAAAAAGAAAAGATAGAATCATAGATAAAAACTACATATCTCAATCTCTGGATATAAACGCAGTCAGACTTGGGTAAACTACTGTTTAGTTTCTTGGAAATTACTAATTATATTGAATAATCTTCATTAGCAGTAATAGGTAGAATTGATGGGCAATTCATACTGGGAGAAGCCGCAAAGTTTATGGTATGATGTGCTATACTATAGATGTCTATTAATATAGAGAGATAGGAAAAGTGAGAGATATACGAAAATACAGAGAGAATGAGAGAGAAAGTGAAAGAGAGAAGGATAATAAGATAGAGACTGAGAGAGAGACAGAGAGGGAGAGAGGGAGAGAGAGTGAGAGAGAAGGAAAGAGAGTGAGAGAAGGGTTCGTGAGGGAGAATAACAAAGAACTTTGTTGGAGCATCTGCTTTCTATTCGTCCACCTTCCAGTCGCATATGGAATACCATGAAATTTAACTGATCTCATTGACCTGACGATGATATTGCCACGGTTTGCTTCTACTTAGTAACTGCAACCGATACTTATCGGTCCTTCTCTTTAAATGCGAGCTTTAGCTCCGTTTCTGTCAGACTATCTCGTTCTACCAGATATTTATCCATATTAAAGGCCATAATACTGATGCTTGCAGGACTTTAGCTGTTACTACTAAAGATGTAGGTGTGAGGAGTGTGTGTATGTGTGCATCTGTGTGGGTAGGTGTCCATGTGTGTGTGTGTGTGTGTCTGAGTGAGTTTGTTTCTATCGCAGTTGTAAAAACCTTTTGAGCAGGTGTCGAAACAATGTGTGGAGCGCAATTTAAATTAGAATGTTGCCACATTCATTAGACGATTAACAACATTAGCAACAACAACATAAACAACAACATGAACAGCAACAACAACAGCAGCAATTACAACAAACTCATATAAAAATGTCAGAACAAGTTGAGTTGGCAATTTGTCAACCGGCAACAGCAACCGGCTAGACTCGCGGCCCGGTCTCCAGTTTACATTCGAAATGAATTTTTTGCATACTCGCATCTCAGAAATTCCAAAATTACTCCCCCCGCCCCATCGTCTCGGACCCCAGCCCAGCCCAGGCCAAGCCAACAGCAGCAGCAGCAACAATAACAACAACAACAAAAATAATAATAATAAAAGAAATCCAAATGAAAAACGAAGGCAAACAAATAAAATTTCCGTGAGCTCTTAATATTTGTATTTTGATTTCTGGCCCGGCTGCCACTTGGGCTGATAACTTGGCCAACAACTGGCTGCCCCCCCAGAGGGGGGGAGGTGGGGGTTGAGCTGGGGGTTGATCAGCCAGTGAGTGTGTGTCCATGTCCATGGATTTGTTCATGCGCAAGGTTTTTTGCCAATGCGCGCGCGAGATTCGATTGGTTCGCCTGGCCTAGACTGGCACCGGGCGGCCCGGCCGGTGGTCGGCCAGCCCCAGCTTCAGCTCCAGCTGCAGCTACCAACCCCTCCGCCCCCGCAGCACACACACTCGCCAGCAGCAGCAGCAGCAGCAGCAGCATCGCCAGCCGGAGCTGCTTAATTGTTAGAGCGGCTGCTCGGTTGCGGCTGCTGCAGCGGGGTGCATTGATCTTAAAATGGCGCAAAAGCCATTGAACTGTGCGCCATTGCAACGGCCTGCAGCAGCAACAACAACAACAACAACAACGTAGCGACTCGGTTCGGTTCGGTTTGATTCGGTTTTTGGCTACACGACTCCATCCACAGACTCACGCGCAGAGACAGTGTCAACAGCGGCGGCACAGACAGAACTTTTCAGCGCCAATTTGTGAATTGTACTCGAAGTGTATGTGTGTGTGTGCGTGTGTGTGTAGCATATGCTAATTTGTGCAGCTAAGTAACTAGCATTTACTTTGGCCCGGCTAGTTGGCACAGCTAAACGAAATCGAGAATGAAATAAATAAAAAAAAAAAAATCGCAATCTGAAATGCAAATTCTTTTCGACGACGACGCCGCGACTGCTGCAACTGTTGCTGCTGCTGCTGCTGCAACAGTTGCTTCTGCTGTTCTTAATGATCACTAAAAGCAGTTGGCGGCACGTTCTGAGCTCGGCTGCGGCTGCTGCTGCTGCTGCTGTTGGCACTCTGCCCGACGTCGACTGTTTGGATGAGTTAAACGAACGCGCGCTTCGCCTATGAAAGATGTCAAGGCTCAAATTTTATATCTGATTTCGCACGCTGAGCACACAGTCGAGGCGGCCAGCTAATAAAGATGCAGACAAGCAGCCGCAGCGTATGTCAACAAATCGAACGTCGCCAATCGATTGCAACGATCAATTAATCGGCATGATGACTTCTCCATTTCTCTTGACTTCAATCTGTTTCTCTATATATATTTTAATGATTGAAGAATATTATTGTATTCTTATCGATAAGTCGTCTCATTGTCTTATGTGCTTTGATTTATTTTCTCCTTCCCGTTACACTCTATCGCTCACTCTCACTCCTGTTGTCATTGTTCAGTCTTAAGGTATTGCCCTCTCTCTTTCTGCCTCTCACGCACACTACAGATATCGATGTATATCATTCTCTGTCTCTTTCTTCTCAATTTCTCTGTCTAACTTAACAGTTTTCTGATATAATTATTTTCTTCTCATTTCGGCATCTCTTTAACTTTTATGTTCTCTCTCTCTCCCTCTCTCTCTATCCCTATCTCTCTGTCCTACTCTCGCACTCTTTCTCTCTAATCCCTTTTTCCCTATCTAACTTTACATCTCTGTTAATATTTATATATTTCTCTTTTTTCTCTTTTTTCTTGATCGATTCCTTTCTTATCTCTATCAATTTCTTTCTATCCCTTTCTATGTATGTCTTTCTCTTATTCACGATCTATATCATTCACTCCCCCTTTCTTTCTTTTCTTGTTCTTGTAAATTGATCACTGTCTATCTCTTTCTTTTATTCTCTCCGTTGCGCAACTTCTTATTATATTATATTATTATTATATATTATATTAAAATATTATTTTTGCCATCTCCACAATCCTTTCTTAAATATGTTTTCATTACAAAATATTTTGCTTTCAATTGTCAACACAATTCAAATTTTTCCAGATTTTTTCGAAAAATATTTTTGTTTGTATTTACTTAAAATATTGAAATAAAATAAGGCAAAGCGAACATTTACAATTGGGCGGAATAAATCTCTTTTGCCTTGAAGCTGGCTTTTGATTGACAGCTCTATTGATATGAAATGATGTTTCTAATGCTAATAGACTGAACATATGAGTCACTTCTCGAACTATCTACACAGAATGTTCTTGAGCTTAGCAAATGTACATATTCACACATATATATAGAATATATAAAGATTTGCATTCAGCTTGGCTAATCTCAGTTTATACTAATCGAATTGCATTGATAACGTTTTCATGTAGATTAATTAATATCTGGAATGAAGTTTCATGAATTCAGAAAGGAGCTGATAATGAGAGAGAGAGAGAGATAGAAAGAGGGAGAGGTAGAGAGTTAGATTTAGAGATAGAAAGAAATATATGTATATAGAGTGATATAAAAGGGAAACATAAGAGAGAGAGAGAGAGAGAGAGAGAGAGAGAGAGAGAGAGAGAGAGAGAGA